ATGAGCTGACTGCATCTCTGGAGAATATTGTGATTTGAGAGACACTGGGGCTGGTGACTGCACTTATAACTACAGCGAGTACTGCTTATTTACAGTAGATGATTTTCTAAAGGAACACACACAGCGATTAGTTACTGCACTTAAAAACATGAGTACACCAGTTGCCTTTAAAGCGTCAAGTTGACTTAGAAAAAGTCAGTGATCTTAGGCAATACGTTTACTCCCTCGTAAGTCAACTAATCACATTTACAGATGTCAAATCAATGTGTTTTTATAACTCTTTTCATAATGAACAGTTTCACAGCATTCATTCATTTTCCTTCAGCTTAGTCCCTTTCTTATCAGAAAAAAAAAACATAGCATAGGTTATTCCTTTTCATTTTTTGTAGGTTATTTATGAAGTAACTGTACTGTATATGACATGGGCCTGCTGGCTAGAACATTTCAGCAGTGGTAAAAAAAAACAAAAAAAAAACAATATCCTACTTAATAATAATAAACATAAAAATAATAATATTCATCATTAATTTTATTATTGAAGTAGGATTTTTTAATTCATTCATCATCTCATTCATTCATCTTCTGCTGCTTATCCGGGGCCGGGTCGCGGGGGCAGCAGACTTAGGAGAGAACCCCAGACTTCCCTCTCCCCAGACACTTCCTCCAGCTCCTCCGGGGGGATCCCGAGGCGTTCCCAGGCCAGCCGAGAGACATAGTCCCTCCAGCGTGTCCTGGGTCTTCCCCGAGACCGCCTCCCAGTGGGACATGCTTGGAACACCTCCCTATGTAGGCATCCAGGAGGCATCCGAAACAGATGCCCGAGCCACCTCAGCTGACTTCTCTCGATGTGGAGGAGCAGCGACTCTATTCCGAGCTTCTCCCGGGTGTCTCCTCCCTGAACCGCCACCTTATCGTGGTGTAGGGGTTTGAGTGCCTGAGTGATCCTAAGAGCTATGTTGTCAGGGGCTAATGCCCCTGGTAGGGTCTCCCAAGGCAAACAGGTTTTAGGTGACAGGTCAGACTAAGTGCGGTTCAAAAACCACTTATGTGTTCGATAACATACAGAACTGTTACGTCGCCCAGTATGGCGCAGCCGGGGCCTCACCCTGGAGTCATGCCTCGGGTTGGGGCTCGTATGCGAGTGCCTGGTGGCCGGGTTTTTTTCGACGGAACCCGGCCGGGCCTTGCCCGAAGGAGCGACGTAGGACCATTCTCTCGCAGGCCCACCACTTGCAGGGGGAGCTGTAAGGGGCCGGTGCATTGTGGAACGGGTGGTGGTCGAAGGTTAGGACCACGACAACCCAATCATCGGGCACAGATTTTTTAATTTTCTAATAAATATTAAATTTAATTTCTTAATAAATAGCCTCATTATTTTTTTATATGATTTATATATGACATTAGAATGTGTGTTAGTTTTTGTAAGTGATTTTATGTTCATTTAGAATAGAATATGTTCTCTATTATATTTTTTTAAAGGAAACACTGACCCTATATGTGCCGTTTACATATATTTCAATTCATATGGAAAGCGAGTGCATGTTTTTAACAAAACTAACATTGGATTTTTTAGCGCAGTGTTTCTCAACTGGTGCGTCGTGACCCAAATATAGGTCGCAGGAAAATTTTCAGGGGGTCGCAGAGTGTGTCGTCAATAAAACAACAAAAGTTTAGACTTTAGCTTATATTTTGCTTATACTGGACTTTTATTTTGAAATGCGCACGCGACAATCATACCGTTTGACATGTGAAATTTAATTTCATTATAGCAAGAAATGTTAAAGCGCAAGTACAACCATGAATATGTAAAGTATGGATTTACGTATACTAGGGATGTAACAGTATCAGAATTTCACGGTACGGTAATACCTCGGTATGAATGGCACGGTACGGTATTTATTGAATAATTTACAGGAAAAACAAAACTAATGAAAAGACTCGAAAAAAGTGCCAAAAGTGTTTATTTACCTTAGCACTGAACATATCAATGACACAAATTAGCCGTCTATCTGTAAGTTTCGAAACAGGAACTTCAATTTTTCAATTTTAATAACAAAAAACTATTAAACCATGTAGAAAAATAAAGTTTCAATCTAGTATTGTTGAAAACTCATCACATTCAACATTTAATCACTCACTCACTCAGATAGAGATGGTTTTTTAAGGAAAATGATCATATAACTATAATCTGGTAAAAGCTGGGATGTCCCCTGCAACAGAAAAAACCCCTCTCATTTGGGACTGAGGTTTCTGGGACAGAGAGATATGATTAAGCCAAGGTTGACAGCAGTGGGTAACGTTGTGCATTGTCTTTCCACCACTTGAGAGGACAAGCCATGAGTGAGATAGAGGTCTCTTTGCGGTACAAGTCAATAGCCCCTTTCACACAGTGATACCGGTAAATATCTGGAAAATTTCCGGAACGACTTTACCGGTATATTAAAAAAAAACGCTGTTCACACAGGCGAGGACGTTACGGAATTTTTCCGGAAAAGAGCATTCACACATCCATTCCAAAATACCGGTAAATTCTGACATCATTCACCACTAATGAGCTTTAAACGGCTGCGCTTGTATTTGTAAACATTTGACTAAATTACAAACTCTGTGGATGATCAATATTGTGAACAACTTTCGCAGGATCACTTTCGCATGTCGAGATGTTCATAATATGTGCGTGTGCAGGTGCTCACAGGCACACGCAAAGCTTGAAGGTAAACAAACAACGGCTTATCATAAGCATCTCATCGATGATTATTTACACAGTTGGCATAAAGAAGAACATATAAACGTAACCTGACTAACTTCTAGCAGCTAAATGTGTCTGGAAAAATATTGAAAGGCTTTTATTCTCATAAACCGCGCGGACGTAAATGCGTCTGACTGTTGTGATTGGCTAAAGCAGACATCTCACGTCAGCACGTTCTAGACGTGCACGCGCTTATTACGGCAATCTTCCTTCTGCATTCACACAGCGCAGCATTCCGGCAAATTGCCGGTAATGTTACAACTTCTCTTTCCGGAAAATAGCCAGAACGAATTTACCGGTATTTTCAAAAAGGACCTGTTCACACATACAACCTTTCCGGAAAATTGCCGGCAATTTTCCGGAAAGGTCTGTATGTGTGAAAGGGGCTAATGTCTGCATCAATCTGAACAGTGTGCTGTGTTTCTGCAGTCCCCATGACTGTTTTTAGTCGTGCTACCCGACTTATATTTCACCACAGTCTGGCAGTGCCTGCTGTTTTTTTCTTTGTCTGTCACCTTTTCTCTTCTTTCGTATCTTTTTAGAAAGAAACCGAAATGCCTCAACACATCCGATTAAAATTGATCATTTCCAGCTCTTTTTCTTCCCCGCTACTAGCAGCACACTCCATTTCCGCATTACTGGATCTGTAGCGACAACAGACCGTAAAGGATGATGGCCACGCCTGGGCTGATGGGAATTGTAGTTCCCGCTACCTCCCGCTCGCTTCATTCGCCTGAGCAAACTAATCTCAGAAATATAGTTTTATTGAGTCATGCGCCTACGGTAATATTGAAAAAAATTACTATTGCGGTATGACGGTATTCACAATATTGTTACATTCCTAACGTATACTGATGACAATAGGCTTAAAAGCTCAGTGTGTCATATGTAGTGAGGTGCTCTCACAAGAGAGCATGAAACCTTCTGAATTGAAACGCAGTTAGAAACTAAACATCCCAGTTGCGAAGACAAACCTGTGGACTATTTTAAAAGACGACTCCAAAAACTAAGGACATCACAAAAGTGCAAACATTTTGTTAAATGACAGCAATAAAATATTGTTTATTTGTAAGTCTTGGTGATTTTCTTATGTTTTATCTGTCAGTACTTGTGTGTTAACAAATAAATACACATTAATTATAATTCCTGAAATCATATTATAGTTGCTAAAAATTTGGGTCGCGGCTTGATGACCATGTAAAAATGTGGGTCCCATGGCCAAACCAGTTGAGAACCCCTGTTTTAGAGCATCATTATGGCCGTTTTACATTATAACTAACGTGGATCAAACGTTAAACACTCGTCACTACATCGTTCTTTTTTCCAAACTATGGATCGTACAACCACGAACGTGAACCACGAACGTGAACCAGGTTCAGCCATGAGTTACGTCGTTGTTTGAGAAGAAGCTTGTTGTTTGCCTAATAAATAACAATAGGCTAGTTTTTTTTTTTATTTAAAATTTAACAGATTCTTATTTGCTTTCTAATGATAAACGCTGTAATAAATTTGTATTTTAAAAATAAGTCTTTTTCATATTTCTTTTTTGTAAATTTTTAGGAAATATTTTTGGCACATTAAAAAGTGGTTATGGGGGACACGACGGTCTGTTTTGGTTCGAGCCTCGGCTGGCTCATTTAGCGTTTTTGTGTGGAGTTTGCATGTTCTCCCCGTGTTGGCGTGGATTTCTTCCAAGTGCTCCGGTTTCCCCCACAAGTCCAAAGACATGTGGTATAGGGAATTGGGTAAGCTAGATTGTCCGTATGTGTGTGAATGAGTGTGTATGGATGTTACCCAGTGATAGGTTGCAGCTGGAAGGGCATCCGCTGCGTAAAACATGTGCTGGATAAGTTGGTGGTTCATTCTGCTGTGGCAACCCTAGGTTAATAAAGGGACTAAGCCATCTGACAAGCTAATCCAGCTAAAAATTGGGCTTAAAATGTCATTAAAATGCAGAATTTAAAGTAACCACCCTTCTGAACAGGCTGGCTACGGGCCTGATAGATTTTAATGATACCACAAACACTACAGTAAACCTTTTTGTTTTGACTCAATGATTAGCTCCAAACAATAATAACATCCCAAAGTTTTCGTTTCATAAAAATGATCCTAGTTTGGGAAATGAATCAAATCATTGTAACGTTTATAAATAACCTCGTGTCGACTTGCCAGTGTGACAGCTCAAGAGACAGCATGTTAAGTATGCATCATTATGAGTCAGCTTAACTCTTCTGGATGAACACAGGATTAATAAGAGGAGATGTTCAGCAGGTCATGCAGCGGGTCAGAGTCCTCATTAACCTGCTGTGATCCAGACTTAATCACCGTCACCTGATGAGCAATTAGCATCCGCCATTTAACTAGCACACGGCGCAGACCCGCTCTTTCTTTTCATTTGCTGTCCTAGAAACAGCCCGGAGATTATTTCTGGTGAGATTAACATTATATATGTGTATATTTATAGTAAGAATGTTAATAATAGATCCCTTTACATCGACTGATAACACGTTTACTAACTTATATGCTCCTTTCAGTTTTTTGTTTTTGTTTCAAAATGAGCAAAACCGAGAAACCTTTATCCACTCTTTGGGGTAAGATGTTCAGTTTTCATCCCTTAAAACAAAACCCGATTAGACTTACCGATGGTTTCTGGAAATGTGGATCCTGTGGTGTTTTCAGGTTGTGAACTCAATGAATCTAATAAAGAGGAGTCCTTCAAGACTGATGACACCAACCATCAGCACCAGCTGGCTCTGAGAACGGTTGGTCTGCTCTTTATCACTGTAAACACCATGTTAAATTGGTCATTATCTAATTAACACTTGTTTTGTAGATGTGTCTCGGTCACACCGCCAAAGATGAGTTCAATATTGTCGAGCTGGTCACCGGCGAGGGAAACAGTAACGCCAAGGCGGTTCCCATAGCAACGCTTCACGCGAAATCCATGCCAACGGTAAGATTTGTTGACAACTTTAACTTGAACATCCGTGTGAAGTCAACATGCAGTGTTTGATTTCATAGCACATTTAGTTTGCTATGAGGCAGGGGCGCAACTACACATATACTGAGAAGTATGCGGGTTCAAGTTTTGTAACTAAAATAAAATAGTTTTGAACAAAAGTTACCAAAAGGCCTGATGTATCAATATGACACATAATAAATTTATACAAACATCTATATTGTATAAAATGGATTTTGATAGAAGGATTAAAAACATTTCAGTTCCAAAAAATGTGAATATTCGGACAATTTGTTCATGTGTCAACTTTAACAGGGTTAAGAATCATTATAATCAAGTATATAATATTTATATAGGTGAATTTTTAATCCAAATATTTTATCTGAAATATCGGTTTATGTGAAATAGGTCTGTACTTAAACATACATTTTGTGTGATCCCTCTTATTTAGGCAAAATAATTAAATAATTATTAATAATAAATAAAGAAAAAAATCAGATTAATCTTATAACTTTTGACCTCAACTGTACTGTATGTATGATTTGACAGTTTTATTTTGATAAAAATTGTAAAAAAAAAATCTAAAGTTACATTTACATGAACACTTTACACTTGGCTCTGCGACTGCATGTTATTGTGTTGATTTTGAATTAAAATGTGTGTGCCAGCGTATGCAACTCATGGTATAATTTTTTATTTATTAAAATACAATATTATACTCATACAAAATGCAAAAACATTTTTAACAAAACATATTTATTTATTTATTTTTTTATTTAAAACTTTTAGTAAGGATAATTTCAAAAATAGTTTTGGCACAATGGCGCCCCCCATGTGTGGCGCCCCTATGCGCCGCATATACTGCATACCCCTTTTTGCGCCACTGCTATGAGGGAATAAATGTAATTCATGTCCATATGAAACGAGTTGAGACCCATTTTAGTACGTTGATGAAACTGAATATTGAGTAGGGGCGGGGCTTCCTCTGCGTTCCCTGCGTGGTAAACTAAGGGGCGTGGTTAAGAATACTGATGCTGAAGCGACGTCAACAGGACTGCCAAACATATAACAGATCATTAAAGTAACTAAACCCAAGAAGCAGAAAATGCACCGTAATATTATTTCTCCCTCCATCATGACCTCACAATCATCCCCATCTACTGAACTGGCCCTATCACGGTCTCTCCACTCCACCTATAGCTGTTTGTGGTGAAGCACTGGAGCTGTTGTCCTGTGGCTCCATGAGCATCCAAGTGGAGCAGCACAAGTTAAAAGACAACTCCCCTAATGTAAAGCGCTTTGGGTGTATGGCCATACATGATAAATGCACCATATTAATACACATTAATTGCCTGGAAACCCTTTATTATGTCAAGCGTAAGTTTAAAGGTATTGTTTGCAAGATCACCAAATTGCCCGTCCACTAGCCTAGAACTGTCAATCTTTGTATAAAACTGGAGGAACTGATGGACCAAGAATTTTAAAATCTTTTTTTTTTTTTCTTCTGTCGTTTAGTCTCTTGTTAGCCTTTTTTTTTTCTTTTGTTTTACAATCGTTGCCTTTTGCATTGCTCTGTTGCTTTTAAGGTCAAAACATAAAAAATGTAATATTAAAAATTGATAAAATAACCCTCAATTTCTAATTCGAACCCAAAAAGCATCTGCTAGATGGATTAGTTGTATGATTTTGTTCTCTCTCCATCAGGTTAACCTGTCTGGTTTGGATCTTCATCCACCGGTGACCTTTCGCCTGAAGCACGGCTCTGGTCCGGTGTTTGTCGGAGCGGAGCATGTGGCCTGTGAGTGACCCCATATGACCGCTGCATTCACCCTTTACCTTCTCGTTTCTGCTTTAATCGAACCGAGTCTTGTGCTGAAATCTGTCCCAGTGGAGGAGTACTCTGACGAAGAAGAGCTGGACGAGGAGATGGACGAGGAGGTGGAAGAAGAGGAGGAAGATATCGAAGAATCGCCTGTTAAGAAAGTCACAAAAAACAGTGCTGGCAAAGTAAGGTCATCTTTACTGTCGAGCTCATTAAACCTGAGCCGATTTCTCACTGCAATCTCTGTCTTTTGAAGAGAAAGAAGCCAGAAAAGGGAGAAGATGAGTAAGTCTGATCTAATATTGAAGATTTTTTTTTCATTAATTACTCAAACTAATCACTTTTTCCCTAAACGCAGGGAAGCATCAGATGGAGAAAATCCTCCAAAAAAGGTGCGCTTGTTTTCTACTATGAGGGGAAAATGCTGTAGTGTTTAACCATACTATAGTTCAGGGGCCTCATGTATCAACGCTGCGTACGAACAAAAACTTTGCGTACGCCAGGTTTCACGCTCAGAATCGCTCGCGTTTAGATTTACTAACGATGAACTGAACGTGGGAATGTGCGCAGCTTCACGGCAGCTTTCTGGCTGGCGTATGCACTTTTTTTGTGCGTGTCTGTTTTATTTCCATTGGCGACTCCTAGAGGCAGTTGTGTTAAATTCCTCTCTACAAAGTGTCTGAGCCTTGCAATGGCAGCTGTATGAGACGGGTTCATCTAGCAGGTATATAAGGTTTCCATACCATACAGTTGACCAGCCAAACATTAAAGCACAATTTGCAGCAGTCGCCTGTTTTCCTCATGTAATCTGAGCGATCTACTGCACGCACATTGCTATAAAGACACTATCTGAAGATGAATTTGCATGCGTGAATCAGAAACATTTCCATTCAATAAATGTGCAAATAAAATGATGCACAAACTTATTAATGATTCCTAATTGTCTTTCTCGTGATAAATAGTTGGCAATCCGATGTAGCAGGGAAAAAAAAAAAAAGTTCATCAGACGCTGGACTCGGTTCATGCTCGAACGTGTCAAAACATGTTGACATGCGTTTTTCGAGCTGCGCCACTGAGACTGTTCAAAGTACTGCAACATTTTACACCTATAAACCACACTATTTCTTTTTTTAATGCACTCAGTGCGATGTTCAGACCCAACTGTGTTAACCGCATCAGATAAACTCTCCCACTCATTTTTTTTCTTTTGTTGTTAATTCCGGAGGACAAATTTGCAAATAACACCGCTTTTCTCCGGTCTACCTCCGAAAGCAGCACCTCCAATTCACATTCTGTTCAGAGTTTCTCTTCTTGCTTTTGCCGTTGCTTTTTCGTTGGGTTTTGCCAAAGTAGAGTCATTTGCATATTCATACGGGGGAGGAGGCAGGGAGGGGTATTGTGCTCGTGCATGTTGCGCTCAGTTTCACGTTCATTCGGATGGTACAAACAGAATATGCGTGAGATTCGGCGTACGCAGTGTTTCATACATCTGAATTTTTTTCTGCGTACGCACATTTACAGCTTTGTGCGTACGCAATGTTTTAGTATGATTTCCACGCAAGTCTTCGTACATGAGGCCCCAGGGGTCACCAATCTCATTCCTGGAGGTCCCGTGCCCTGCAGGGTTTAGCTCCAACTTGCCTCAACACCTGCCTGGGTGTTTCAAGTATACCTGGTAAGAGCTTGATTAGCTGGTTCAGGTGTGTTTGATTAGGGTTGGAGCTAAAATCTGCAGAACACCGGCCCTCCAGGAACAAGTTTGACCCCTGCCATAGTTAAAGCTGCGGTCACTACAGTTTGTGTGCAAAATTCTGTTGTGTGGCGCTGCGAAAAGGGGCAAAGAAGCTTATCAGACATTTAAAAAAGCGAGCGATTACTAAATTTCTGTCCAGAGAGGTCATTTTTTGATCCTTGATTGGTCTCACGAAGTCAAGTGATGCGATTTCACAGGTCAGAGTTCACCAAGCTTGAACTTTGCACCGCAGCAACCTGCGAAACTTGACGCATGACCTTGCGTTTCCGGTCTGACGCATTCGCGTGCGTATGAATGGAAGTCTATGGGAGGAAAAGCCCAGTGTGACCACAGCTTAATTCAGGGGTTTTCAAACTTTTCAACCAGTGACCCCCAAAATAACAATGCCATTGACTTACGACACCTAATATCCTCTGAGGTGGATTTATAAATGTATAAACCATGCACACAATGCTGCACACACACTAGTAGGCATAAGTTTATTTGCTGTTTAGTTTTGGAGAACGCCGCTCAGACACCGGTCCCTGTTGAGTTGTGGTCTGTATTTTTAATATACAAGTCCCGTAAAGGGGTCCGCAAGTTTAACCTGGTGCATCTGATGCTATTACTGTGCCTTTAATATAACGTAATCACCCCAGAGCTCGCAAAAATCGAAAGGTTGATGGATTATTATTTGCTTTTTTGCAACTATACAAATTTTTGTTTTCTTCTTCTGTAGGTTAACTCTGAGTTTAATGAAATAGATTTTGGTATTTGTAATATATAGTAATATAAACAAATCACCAATAGTGTAGTAGTCTAAAACTGTAGGGTACATTATACTACATTTTACTACGTTTTCTACTGTTTGGTAAACAGTGGAGTATATACAGTAGGGGTTTAACACGTACAGTAGATAATGTGGTTTGATCTAGACATGGCAGCTTCACACACTAAGTTGAAACTGCCCTCAGATTATTTAAAGTGTTTTTAAATGTTATCATGCATCCCTGGTGGAGATGGTGAGACGACTGATAACCATTATAAGAAAAGTACCTGCAAAAAATGGGCAAGGATTTTGAGCAGCTTTCTAGTGCGGACTATCATAGCGGTAAAATATGCATCTGAGCAAGTCTAATGTTAACATTATAGACTTTGTTTCGTGCGTTATGTTATGAATACCTTCATGAATCTGTGTGCTGAAGATGTATGCA